AGGCTGAACGGACCAGGTGTAGAGCTCTGGCTCCTGGACATGTCCGTGGACGACCTTGCTCTCATCACCAAGTGCCTTGGAAAGCCTCCCAATCCTGGGGATCCACATTTGGACCAGCACCAAGTTTGGAGACCCACAGATGTTGAGGAGAAGCCAGATATTATGACAGTTGTCTCATGCAGACAGGCAAGATGATTCATATGTGTTAGCGATGAAAGCGTTCATCTCTATGGTGCATATGCTGAGGTTTATATTCATATTTTCTTGTATTTTATAAGGATTATATATATATATTGTAAAATCTTCTTTACACCATATGTCTACAAGATGTACCATTAAAAAGGGCAAAATATTGTTTATATATATAATATTATATATAAAATATACACGGTCCATCTGTACTCTTAAAGTTGTTTGAGTTGGAAAACAAAGAAAAAAGCACATCTATTTTCCTTTACATGATCAGTAATGTCACTAATGATGACTTGAGGTAATGCAATCACCAGTTAACTATACTGTTTTTTCTGTACAGGGTCAGCAGTTTACTTACACATATTTTTATTATTTTAATATACATTAATATACAAGTATTATAATTATTGACTATAATTCCTTACAATACATATTTTTTAAAACAAACTTTTGCAGTCAGTTCACACTGATACCTTTCTGCTGGTTAATCTATAAATATATTTTTTTTGTTTACATTTTTTTCTCTCTAAATTTACACTCTCAAGACATGCTCCTAACCGGGCATGCATACTCAGTAAAACTCCGTCAATATTACCAGAGCTACACAAAATCTAAATGGGACGCAGGAAACTTTAAATCTCAAGCGTGAACGTTGTCACAAAATCTTTAACACGTTATAACAATTGTAATTATAATGAACATAATATCAGCATTATTATATTGCCAAACAGATCATTAGTTAAAACAGAAATGTCACAATTTTTGATTCATGTATTTTCATATTTGAAAAGTATTTTTTATATAATGACTTATTCATGAAAGTGTTAGCAAAGAATCTTTTGAGAGATAAGTACAAATAAATAATGATGTGCTCGTGAAGTAATTGATTTAATGAAGTTCCTATGAAACTATTACAAGCGAGTGGAGGTCAGGCGAGCGGCACCCCTGAGCGCTCATTGTCAGATGTTTAACTCAAGCAATCTTTTGGGAAAGACATCGGGGCTAATAGGTGAACTCACAGCTGTCTGAGTCGGGCTCGAGCTTTCAGAGCAAATAGCAAACAACTACTCATCCAGCCTCTAACTTAATGGGACGGCAAACTTTCTCAACAGCCTCATCTTTACACGCACGCATGGACAAGCACAACACCTAATCAATAAGTGCGCTAAACGAGTCTTTAGTTACAACGACAAAAGCATGCAGCAACCTTTTTTCTTCAGAGTTGAGCTCATAAAACATGTACTCACGTTACACTGTATAAACACTCCATGAGTTTTCGCCCATGCGTCAAAAGTTTTCTTGTCCGTGTTTTAGAGTTCAGTCTCGGAGTGCAGGGAGGAAACATGCAGCCCTGCAGCTGCAACTGGATTGTGTTTTCTCACTTATTCGGGGAACTTAAGATAGTAGGCAGGTAGGGTGCTCGGAAGAGTTTGGCAGAGTGCCTGGAGAATGAATATGTGCCCAGTTTTCTTGGTCTTCAAAGCATACTGTAGTAAAACACTCAACGGATGTTTAGAATACCTCGCATACTTGTAGTCGTTATTATTTTGAAATGGTTTGGAGGAGAAGAATTTAGTTTGGTTATTTTAAAATGTTTATTCGTGCACCGTTTTTTATTATTATTATTATTTCTCTCTCTCTCTCTCTGTCTCGTGGCTGTTTTTAGTGTCCGACTGACATAATATTTGTTTAAGGCTTTTTTTTAATGCTAGACTAATATTTTAACAATGTTTAAGTTCTGATTTAATAACGTTATTTAAAGTTAGGTTTAAATAGTAAAATAATTGATAAAAGGTCACATCATTTTACAAATAAAATTAATTTAAAATGGATTAGAATTGTATTTCACAATATTTTAGGGTAGTTTAAACAAGAAAGCATCAGATCAATTTTTTAGTGATTAAAAAAATAGATTCAGTCTTAAACCTGGTTGACAAGTGTACAATTTTAATTATCCTTAGCTTAGAGGTTGACCAAACCAAAAGAGGAATTATAATCACCATGCGCAATTCATTTAATACGATTTTGGAATTATATTTGTGTCATTTAATATTTGTTGCACTTGTCTCTCTCTCTCTCTCTTTCCCTACAGACACTCAAACACCATGGCAAATATTCCATTAGTGCCGTAATTTACCTCTGAGACTTTGCAAGCTCGCAGATGAAATCTGGCAGTGTGAGTTGAACATATGTGCGACGTTCAAACAGATAAAGTGTGAACTGCCTTTTTGCTAATGGTGAAAGTATGGCAAAGTTTAATGTTTTCTTTTCATTGCAAGTGCTTCACATGCTCTTGTTGCATCGCTTAAAACAGGGTGCACAATGACTCGGGTACTTTGAACCCTCGTCAAACGCATAATGAGAAGCTGACGGTGTGAAATCTGACTAGACTGTAGTAAACAGCCTCCTCTGATGTGATCGTTCTGTCCAATAAAGGCAAAACGGGAGAGAACTCGCTGCGTTTTCACACTGACTTCTGCTTTGTCTTTTGAAAAGTGGCGTCTGAGAGTCTGACTCTTGGAGTTACTGATTTGCAGGCTGCATGTTAAGGTAGACCATGTAAGTGATTTCCACGGGCATTGCACTAAAGGAGAACAAATCGCTGACAAAGGGGGTAGCTTTTCGATTCAATAGCGTCGTTAGGACGACCGAAAAGTATTCCTCAGATAATAAGTTCTACTTCAAAGCGTCTCGCATTCAGCTGTGACTGCTGCAGCTTTTATGAAGTCCCCCCTTTTCAGTCCGAGGGGACAATCTCTTTGGTTATTTTTCACCGTGTTTATTTTGCACTATTGAAAGGGCACTTGTTTTAAATAAATAGAAGATCATTCTTTCCTTGAGCAAATAAGAGTTCGTGGACAAAAGATGGGCAGAGCGCGCGCTTATTTCCGAATTAAACGTTAATGCGCGCCGGGGATTTCAAAGATTTGGGAACAAAAATATGAGCGATTCCGATGAAGAGCGAATTGACTGCTCTAACGTAGCATGAAACTAAAGGCCAGTGCGACTTTATCTTAATAGAGTGTTTCCAATCGAAGTGACCTTTTTCCAGTGCCCGGTAAACACACACGCGCTTTATGAAGTTGCCCTTGAACTTCACACTATTTATGGGGCGTTTCACTGACACAAAACACTAGATTTACAATCCCAAACGACTCACCAACTTGTGTGCTTTATTCCATGGGCGTTAGCTTGATGCTCATTAGCATGAAAATAAAGATCACACTTCCTTAGGAAGAGTTTTAGAACTTTCTAAATACATATTTTCCACCCGCCATAAGAAAAGTCCAAGATGCCTATTTGTCTCCTTCTGCGCTGATATAAAATGTCGACCACGCCGATTTTAAGGGACAAGACGGTTCGTGGGAGAAGTTTCTGCTTTGATGATTGTCCATTTAGGGGCAGTTAGTAGTTTTTCTACTATAAATATTCAAATGGGTCCCATAGAAATCCTAAAGCACAGTGCAGTCTTCCGTTCTGTTGTGGAGCTCTTTGAAGTGGTGCAGGACTTGCACTGGTCAATTCTGAGTCTATAGTCTGGGACAGAGGGCACTTTGAAACTGTTATTGTGCGTTTTAATGAAGGAAATAAGACGGGAGACTTTGTTTCATATTCTCCATACAACTTTCTTCTTATTGTTTGGCAGCTTTTATGTCTTATATTGCCATGAATGATTCATGTATTGGTGGCTTTGTGCTGTTCTACTTTTCATAACGTGCACTATTAGTTAAGTGATGGTTCCCTTTTGAAACGAGACTGAATGAGGAATCTTTTTATTCAGGAGAAAATCAAGAAAAAATGTCTATAAAGTGTTTTGTCGAAATTTGCTGTTTCGTTTGGTTAGCATGTTTTACAGAAAATTAAGCATTACTTCTTAGCGCAACAGTGTTACTCATTGGATGATTAGTTTAAATCAATCTGTTGAATTTTAAATGAAATAGCCTACGCACTCTGATAAAAGAATGAATCGATGCCTTTTTACTGAAAAGAACATATTTACACGTCCTGCCTTTTATTCAAGTTTTCCATATATCTATACACAAACATCACATTTCTTCACGACCTTTTTACGTTTTTTTCCATCAACACCATCATGCATCTCAACAGAAAGAGTTACTACACGGTTCATGCGAAAGATTCTTCACATTATACAGCCTATTCAAGTAAGACCTTTTTTACAGAACACGATAAAAAGCATCACTTCTTTTCACCAAAATTATATTATTCTTTGGTGTATCTGTACTTCCAGACCAACATTAATACCAGCAAATAAATTACAATGTACAAAACTTGAGACGCTACGAAAACATTCACAAGCATCAATACCATATACTATTTACAAATCAGTCAGGGATAGGCCTGTCAATGATACATTATTTATGGTCTCAGTGGACATATTTCGTACTCTTCATCAAAATCATCAGAGTTTCAATGATTTTGCATAAAATATAGGTTTAAATATTTTAAATATCACAAAACCGTCCTGACCACAGTTATTGTATAAACTGTAAAAAAAAACTCCACCCAGTCATTTTTTGACTTTGACAATATACAAGTAAAAACTTAAACTTATTGTCACTGCAATTTTTTGCCCCTCAGACATTTAACGTGTAAAACGATTCTCTATAAAAGATTTATATGCAACAAAGGGGTGTAATATAATGGTCTCAGTGGACATATTTCGTACTCTTCATCAAAATCATCAGAGTTTCAATGATTTTGCATAAAATATAGGTTTAAATATTTTAAATATCACAAAACCGTCCTGACCACAGTTATTGTATAAACTGTAAAAAAAACTCCACCCAGTCATTTTTTGACTTTGACAATATACAAGTAAAAACTTAAACTTATTGTCACTGCAATTTTTTGCCCCTCAGACATTTAACGTGTAAAACGATTCTCTATAAAAGATTTATATGCAACAAAGGGGTGTAATATAAAAAAGAGCCTAAACATAATTGATAAATCTTTTGAGCTCATGTTATTTGATTTTGACAAATCAGGTAAAATCTTAAAAAATGTACAAGTCGATTTTTCCATGTCTGATATTTCATGTTGAAAGTTTCAACTGCTTATCATATGAAACATAAATTGCATCAATGCTCTGAGCATGTTTTAAGGGCAAACTGGGGGCAAAATCTCTTTCACCCACTGACATCCATAGGTGTTCCACTTCTTCGAATTGCAACTCTTGAATTTTATGATTTTTTTTTTTATGTGGATCATTTATAATGAATATATTCCTTGCTGTTCACATCAGAGCATTGCTCTTGGATCTGTGTGTCTGAAAGGGTCCTCGTCGTCGGATTCTGACGTTGGCACATCGCTGTGTAGATTGTTTGGTCCAGCACTCCCTTGGCACACGTACCATTCGTTTAGGTTGGTCACCTGAGGCGAAAGGTTCGACGAGCGGTTCCTGTGGGGCTCCAGGTTTGGTGAGAGGGCATCACCGATCGTCGTGGACGAGGAATGGTAAGAGGAGCCCGTGTTGGCGGAAGGGGGCGGAGGGGACTTGCAGTGAACCTTCATGTGTTTGCGCAGGGAGCTCGGGTGTGTGTACGACTTGTCACAACCCCTCACTTTACAGAAGTAAGGCTTATCACTCGTGTGGACGTGAGAGTGCTTCTTCCTGTCGCTGCTGTTGGCGAATTTTCTGTCACAGCCATCAAACTCACATTTGAACGGCTTCTCACCTGGCAAAGAAGAAAAATAGAGCATTTAGATATAGACATCAGCCATACATCTATTACATTTTCTTGGTTGCAAGAAAATAACAGCTAATGGATAATCCATTCTCAGCAAGCACTAGTAATGGATGGTTTTGGTTTGAAAATCACAACATTATCACTTGTAATCCCACAGTACTTATTTTCTGCTATTACATATGGAATGTTTAGGCGCACCACATGACTTATACAACTTAAGCTTGCCAAAACTCTTTTTTTATGATTATTATTTTACTGGGTAAGCAACTGAGCCGACTACTGAAAACATTTCGGCCAGCCATATGTATCAGATTGCCTGGAGTAAAAGAACTGACCCGTCTTTACAAGATATCCAAATCATGTCAAAAATACATTACAAGTTGCATTGATTCACGGTGTCATTCCGGGACTTCTTACAACAAAAATCCATAAGTGACTTCTACACATATTCATTGATGATTTAAAATAGCACCGTGTTTCGACCATTATAAATGTAGGTGGGTTTGACACGCAAGCCTACATTTTCAGGGCGTAATTTACGTCAGCACGTGTTGTAAGCATAACATGATACCGTTATACAGTAAAATAACCTAAACAATACCTGCAACTTCTTAACAACCTGTAATAACAAATTGTCACGTGAGTGAATTTTTAGTAACTGGAGGAAGAGCTTTATAGCCTATCTATTAAATACCACAATATTAAATATCTAGTTTAATATCATGCACAGCACACGCGCATAACATTTTGTGAGAATAGGCTAAGCAGAGGCCTTCTTTGTTGTGCAAAGATACCAACATAGTTTAGTTAATCAAAATGTAGTAGACGCCCCAAGGGTGAAACATTCTCCTTATTTACATTAGTATGGATCTATTCACACGCTGTTTGTAATTCCATGTGGCTTTAAATTTGACAAACACGAGCCGAAAACTTCGTGTTACTATTTTACCTGCAGCCTAATAAAACAATGCCTACTTTCCCTGTTTTGTTCGTTAATATTTGCACACGTAGCATTGAAATGCAGCTGCAGCATGATGTCTTCACCCCAACGTTTTTGCATGTCTACTTGATATAAAACTGCATGCATCAAAGAAAAAAAGACGTAAAAACTGCTCATAGCAGCGTGTGTCTTGAGTGCTTTTTTCATGTAGGCTTACTTAACAAGTATCAAGTACGTTGATATCTCATTGCATTTTCAAAGTAAGTTCAATTACGCTTAGCAACACCAAGGGATAGTTTTGCTTGGCGAATAGGGAGTGTAAACAAACCTCCTTAACCTTGGTTCTGTATGACTGTATATTTGTGCATGAGTCGGGGGGACAAAAAAGTGATTCTGCTCCCCCATAGTAACTAACGTTGCTACATATCAAGAAAAGTCGACTATCTGCCAAGTAGTGCAAACAAGTTCAATAACAGACACCTATGAAGTTTTTTCTTCTTCAAAGAATTTGTTGACTTCTCACTAACCTGTGTGCGTCCTTTTGTGAATCTTGAGATTTTCCGAACGCGCGAATACTTTGCCACAACCGGGAAAGGGGCACGGGAACGGCTTCTCGCCCGTGTGCACGCGGATGTGATTGATTAGTTTGTACTTGGCTTTAAACGCCTTTCCCTCGCGCGGACACTCTTCCCAGAAGCAGACGTGACTGCTCTGCTCCGGTGCCCCGACGTGCTCCACCGTGACATGGTTGACGAGCTCGTGCATGGTGCTGAAAGTTTTGGAGCAGGGCTTCTTGGACGTCTGCTCCTGGTCAATCCACTTGCAGATGAGCTCTTGCTTGATGGGCTGCCGCATGTATCGCAAAAACGCCCCTGTGGCTCCGTGAGGAGCCGTGGCGAGGTTCACATTTAAGTTCATGGAGTTGTAGCTGTGCAGAGAAGAAGATCCATAGTGCTCGGGCCTGTGGCCGAAGTGCTCTGGCCTGCCGTAGATGTCCCCCGGTAGACCCAGACGCATCTGCCCGTTGATGGCATGGTGGTGGTGGTGGGCACCTGGGGCCGCTTGCTCGTGCAGTCCAGAGAAAAGTGGATGGGCACCACCGTCCGCGTGCCCATAAGCACCTGTTGGGGAAATGAACATGCCATGGTGATGAGGGGAGGAGGCGGAACTATGCTGGTCGCCAAGTGCATGCATAGCAGAGGCTGAGAGCTCTCTCCTGAGGATGAAGTCCCTGCTGGTGGTGTAACCTGTGTGGGGGTGAGCCACGGGGAAACCAACTGTGGTCTGAGAAGACGTGAAAGATGCCGCGGTCTGGGCTTCGGGATGGATTTGTACAGGCTGAGAGGGACTAAGTTTGAGAGCATTGGTCTGTGCCATGTGCTCGGGTCCAAATGGAGTGAGAGCCACTCCGGGGTCGTTGCCCATCTCCCCAGGGTGGAGGTGGGCATGGTGGGAGTGCGGGTGATGCCCCCCAATCCCCGGGAAGCCTGTCATATTCTGATGAGGAAGGGTTTGAGTCGATGCCAAATCCGCTAATCTTATCGCCGAATTCCTCTTGCTTAAAGGGGGCTCCATCACTACGCTGTCATGTCCACGCTCACCGCTATTGTTTTCTCCAACTACGGGCCTTCTGAAACCATTAAAATATATGTATATGGCCGTCTATAGAACTTCTTTTGTCCTGCCTCTAACTCTGCTTGCTCCTTTTCCCACTCTGTCCTCAAGCGATTGGCAGAACATACAACAGTTGGAGGACACAGTGGGGAATAGAGTTTAGAAATGGCACTGCGGGTATTGGACAGATTTCGGTGACTGGCAGTTAAGAGAACGAAGCGATTGGCTGTCTTTCAGCGCAGAGGCTCAGCGGGGTTCCGCCCCCTCACTCTCTTCATCACTGTTCACTCCAGAAAGTTGTGCTCACAAAGTTACAGGCAAATCTGTTTACCGAGACACACACGCATGCACACACACACACACACACACGTGGAAGGTTGTTTTTTCTCTTTGCACAAAACAGTGACACTACACACGCGGAGCATATTGTGCAACACCCCCACACACCGTTTGAACTATATTTATAAATTAAATTAAAATAAAATAAATAAAACGCTGTCAAGAATTAATCAAGCAAAAAAAAAAATTTAATTTTCTTTTGTCAAATAAATCGTTTTATTATGTTGACATATGTACAGACTAAGGATAAAATGGGGATAATGGAAATAAAATAATAATAAAAAAAACATACAAACACAAACACACGCATGCTATACAAAACTTACTTGTTTCTAATTGTTGCAATGCATGCATATAGGTAAAACTAAATTATTATATACATAAAACATTCTTACATGTGATTTTTATTCAACCAAACAAACGATTGTTTTACGCCCTAATAAACAGAAATGCAGAGGCTACGTTCATGGAATTCTTTCTAGTAACCTGCTTTGTCTAGATGATTTCCTCGTAATATAATTTTATATAATCAACATTATCATGCAATTTTTAAAAATTAAAAAAGGACATTCAAATGCAACAAATGCATTTTAATAGGTTATCTAAAACGCAGTTTTAAACATTACAGATCTTCGGTCCACTGGGCGATGTCAATTTCTCTCTCTCTCTTTTTTAAGAATGATATCTAAGAAACGTATTACTCTTCACATAATTTCATCTCATGTTTGTTTGTGTGTGCTGTACGTGTGTCATGATGCACGTCCACGCCCTTTTCCATGTTGAACTCAGCAGGAAGTGTACACATGCCACTGCTTTAATATGTCTTCATTCAAATACATGCTTCAGGGCAGTTGTTACCATATTCCATATAATTATTTCAAAAACTAATTATCAAGGTACATCAGAAGGTTAAAGAGGCCCGCCCTTAAGACTTAACAATAAAAAAAATTCTGCTTACAAAATTGAAGTAACATGAAAAAGGCATTCATGAGATTTTGTTATTTTAATAAAGCACGTGTATCTCTCCTCGCGTATAAACTGCACCTGTAGTAACTAAAAGTGTTTTGATTTCCTGCATAAGCTATCATGTCTGTCAGCTTTGTCAAGGGTCTTAATTTAGAATGAATTGAACCACAATGTATGCCGGTTAATGTGACGGAAGCATTACAATCTATGCATTCTAATTGAGATTTACGACATCCTAACGTTTACCTCTGAATTGTGATGGACGAACAGACCGTATTAAATCGTCTTTAAAATAATTCAGTCGTATTGATTGCTGAATACGCTACACTTACAATAAAAGTTAATGACGGGAATGTCATAAATAATAATTGTTTTAAACAAGCTTGTAAGTGAATGTGAATTTTCTTTGTCTGTTATTTGTGAAACGACGTAACGGAGGGAGAAGGCCAGCATTTGTCTAATTTCAGCCTTTGAACAGAGAGGATTTCTTAATTCAAAGGGTAGCATATGTGGTGTCCACGGGTCGAAGGTCAAACACCCTTGAAATCACTAAAAGCAACCAATAATGCGTCACCATATTGATACTGTCAAAGTTAAAATAAATGCCTTGTTGCTTTAAGAGCCTTACGCATTAATGGAAAGCCACAATTAATGTAACCATATAGGGGTTTGATCATGTATTGTAATTGAAAGGTTAGTTGGGATTTTATTGCTTTCACATATAGAGAAAAAAAAAACAAGGTTAATATCTAGACAGTGACGCATATGTTTTTTAAATAATAAGCCAAAGGTGTTTTCGCCTGTGTGTTTGGTTTTAGCTTTTTCGAACTTTTTTCCTTCCTTGCTACACCAGAAAAGAAGAACAAAAACTGCGGCTATGTGTTCTAGACCAACTGCACTCTCAGTCTAATTTCTCTTTCTTCTTCTCCCTGCCCACTAAAAAGAAGAAAGGTTTTTGTGGTTTTCTGGAGAAATAAAGAACTTCTTAGAGAGGTCGGCAGACGTGACTTTGAACTTGGATCGGATCCTGTGTTTCCTGTGGAGAGGGTAGAAATAGTCTTGGAAGAATGGCACATACCGTTCAAACAGCATGGCTTTGAGCTGAGGCACACAGAATTCCCAAAGTTTTATACATCCTCCGCCCTATTATTTACAGCTTAAAGCGTTCGGAGGAGAGGAAAGACAAGACAAAGTGTGTTGTGCGTAGGAACGGGACTTTATCGGACTTAGGTTCAATGAAATTGTAAGTAAACCTCCTTTAACTGAATGGTAACATTTCAATAAACGCTGGAATGTTACACGTAGGACTTTTTTTTCTTTTTTTTAGATCAGATCAGATCAGAAATGGTCCCTGAGTGGCTTATGTAGGCCTACATTGGCCTGGAATCCGTAATGCAGTAACCTCATCCATATGTGTTAGGATAACTTCAGTTGAACCGTTTCGTTATTGTCAGGGAGTGTAGCTACAGTTTACATAGGCTAGGAAAAGCTCGCATAAATGCCTGTTCCGTAACCACAAAATACCGCTAAACTTGATTTTAAATCATGCAGATTCCCTGATTTATTCAGGTAGAAAGACCAGGCTCTCAGTCCATGACGTCACTGTTTTTTGTTGTTGTTGTTGTTGTTTTTAATTAAAGGTATATCATATTGTGTGTTTTTTTACATGGGAATGTAATCACACTTAAATACATTCAAATTACATTTTGTTCTTGAATTTGCTCAAATATTCAGAATACTCTGTGTGCGCATATTAGTCATAGTGATAGGAAAAATGTAGATATAGTAGCCTTCAAAGCTTAGAAGAATTCTCAAATTGATACTGTTGTCGTATTTACTGTGTTTCAACCCTTATGTGGAGTTTATGGTTCTGACGTAGATGAAATCAAATTGGTACATTGTGTTTCAGAGTAACAGCGTTTTGGTGTTAGCTACGAATTAGTGCGTTTTTTAATGCAATAAAATAATTAAAGTATACAAATGTAAATATGATGTTGATGGCAATGGCGATGGAGCTTTTCTCTATTTTTAGTACTTTATATCTCAAAAGGCTAATATATTTATATATGAATACACGTTTGTTTGTTTTTTATGTTCACAAGATCACGTCCTTTATTCAAATGCTGATGACCACATAGACTGCAAACTGGATGCGAATGATTGTGTTGTCATGTGTGCAGGTTTGTGAGTTTGTTTTTCATTCACCTTAACCCTGTCTGTTTGTTAAAGCACAGTAAGCGAAAGTAACGAATTAGATTTCGCTATAACCTAAATGTCCTAAACATTTTAAACCATTAAGCAATTATGCAATATATAGTGGCGTTTTTCCACCAAAGAGGTATGGGTTCCACTTACTCTTATGAGCCCGCGTGGCAACTGATTTATTTTTTTAAGCGGTCTGATTAAACGCGAGTATTTTTGGTCTCCTTCTACCTATTCCCCGAAAAGGCTCTCCGAAAAGTAGGCGGTTATTGTCGGTGGAAGATGGCGATCAGCGATTAGTTGCCAAAGGATTGCGTTCGATTGGAGGGGCACCTGGGATTGATAAGGAGCGGCGGCCAATGAGAGCGCGTCAAATGAATGACCGGGCTCCAGTTAAAGGGGGCGTAAGAGGAGGCAGTGTCAGTCCACTGAGAAAGAGGGACCCTCCGAGATAAACATAGACAAGCGAAAGAAATAAACATTCCAATTCGAGATGCTTCAAGAACAAGGAAGACTCAGTAACATAATACCTCGCATTTTCATGTAGTCCGAAAATAACAACATCGACTCTGTTTAAAAGGAACAGCGCAAAGGAATCTTTTCATTTCGCTGCATTGGGGAATTTGAGTAACAAGTTATCCACAAGAAAAATATAGTCTAACTTAATACGCAAAGCTTTTTTTCCGATGAGCGGATCGAACTGCATCGCCTCATGTCGTGTTCTCAAATCTGGAAGTTAATATTCCCGTAGCGCATTCGATTTTATTTTGTTAAATGTTTTGTTGAAGCGCCGTGCATAGACTGCTTAAAAGAGAATTGGTTTTGCTCAACGAAAGCATGTTACTGGACGCTGGGCATCAGTTCCCTGGTTTGGGAGTGGGCACCTTTGCCAGGCATCATCACTCCTCCAGTGAGATGCAGGACAGAGACTTGAGTTTAGCGCAGAACAGCTTCGTCGACTCGGCGCACATGGGCACCTTCAAACTGAACCACGATCTCTCTCCCGGACAGAGTTCTGCATTCACGAGCCAAGCGCCCGGTTATCCCGCCTCGGCTCTGGGCGCGCACGCGGCTCATGTCACATCATACGCGAGCTCGCCGTTTAACTCCACGCGGGACTTTCTCTTTCGCAGCCGTGGATTCGGGGAATCATCACCGGCGGGAGGCCAGCACGCACTCTTCGGCCCCACTGCCGGCTCGCTCCATCACTCTCACACAGACAGCCAAGGCCACATTCTGTTCCCTGGCATCCACGAGCAGCATGGATCTCACGGCTCCCCAAATGTGCTCAATGGGCAGATGCGACTCGGACTACCGGGGGAGGTTTTCGGGCGATCAGACCAGTACCATCAGGTCTCCAGCCCTAGGACCGACCCTTACTCAGCCGCTCAGCTGCACAACCAGTACGGCTCCATGAATATGAACATGGGGATGAATATGGCAGCGCATCACCATCACCCCGGTGCCTTCTTTCGCTACATGAGGCAGCAGTGTATTAAGCAAGAGCTTATCTGTAAGTGGATCGATCCGGAGCAGCTCAGCAATCCGAAGAAGAGTTGCAATAAAACTTTCAGCACCATGCATGAGCTGGTCACCCACGTCTCGGTCGAGCACGTTGGAGGACCCGAACAGAGCAGCCACGCCTGCTTTTGGGAAGAGTGTCCCAGGGAAAGCAAGCCTTTTAAAGCCAAATATAAATTGGTCAATCACATACGCGTGCATACGGGAGAAAA